TGATATTTAGGCCAATAAACTGATACATTTAATTTTTTTCCAGACCAAATTCTGTAATTTTTCATGCAAATATTTCAACATTTTAATATCTGTGTGCGTTCAGTGCGGAGCGAGAGGAGGTGATTAAGACTGGAAGCAGGAGGACACAGCTGGACAACAAGGCCTCAAATAGTTCGAATCCAAAACAGAAATGTAAAAATATAACAAATGTGTTACGTAGTGAGCCTTAGAGGCGGTGGCTGGTAAATAGTTTTAATTTTATGCTAAGATAACACACAGACCTGAGAGTAGTACTGATCTTTTCATATAAATAGCTAATTTTCCCCAAATATCAAACCATCTCTTTAACTTGCCAAGTGAAATATGCCTGGACCATCTCAACGTGGCACAGCATGGGATAAGGTAACTTACTAACAAAGCTGTTGAAACACTGTGGCTTTTTGTCCCAGTAGACTCCCAGGAAATAGACGGGGACGCCTGTCAGCATGATGGCCAGGCCAATACCACATACCACGGGCTCAGAGTAAAGGGAGAAGATGAGCAAGAAGGCCCAGAAAATGAGATAAATCACTGGCCATATCAGGCTGACCTGTGAGAGAGAACAAAGCAACTTATTACACTCATGCAGAGAGGAAGATTTGGTATTGTAACCTTTAAAGAAGATCATACAATTTAAATGAGATGCTAACCCACTACATGCTTTTTGCATGTCATTTGGTCTTTATATTTTATCTACTGTAAATTGACAACATTTATTTCCTTACTGATATTACTGTTTTTGTTAGACAGTATATATATCTTTGTTTAAATGTGGTGTACACTGGTATATTCATACATAAAGTGCAAAACAATGTAAAAAGAGTCAAAATTTAAAGTCAAACAGACCAAAAACCCCCAAAACAAAACAAAATAAAACCACCACATAAACACACCTTGATTGGCCGGTGCATCTCCGGCTTTTTAATTCGCAGGACAATCTGCCCGGCAACAGTGACTCCATAGAAGAGGTAGTTGATGAAGCCCACGTAGTTGATAAGGGTGTACATGTCACTGGTACACAGCATAAGCAGGGTGGACAGACACTGAGGAACGAGATGGAAACAGCGTTCAGAGACAGAATGTTTATGGCTTGGCCTGGTGCTATTTTCCTGTATAGATTTTAGGTGTATCATGAGACCAAAACAGACTTATCAGAAGGAGATGCTATAAGGGAGTGTAGCGGCGAGAGCAGTACTCACAGTAAAGAGAAGAGCGGGGATGGGAGTGCAGCGCGTTACGTGAATCATGGCCAGCAGACTGGGGAGGTGGCCCTCCCTGGCTCCAGCAAAGAACAGTCTGTGAAAGGCAAACAGAAAAGAATCACTCAAAGCATATACAAAAGTTCTGTCTACTGTATATCCACATGTTGTACACTGAAAAAAAAGAGGGTTAAGATGAGGATGAAAGCGAAGAAGAAAAGCTGAACTCAGTTGTTGTACCCGGTACTTCTTACCATACTGACTCTAAGAGACGAGACAGTCCAAGTAACTACAAAACAGTGCTGATTTATTCAAAGGATCACAGGTAAAATTAACATTACACGCTCAGGTATCTTGCACCTCCATACTGCATGTAGGCAGATGTAAGATGAAAGACCCCTAACCCAACAGGCCTATACATTATATCCCCTCGGTTGGGCTAGCCCCATACTACACAGAATTATACACGTCATAATAATAATATTAAACACCCTGTCTGCTGACAGTCATCAACTCTTCTCTCTAGTTATCCTTGACCAGATGTACCCTGTAGAAACTCATAAGCATGACTAAGCATTTAACAGTCTAACTAGACATCCCATCTCCACTAAACATTTCTAATACATAAAGTATCTATCCAATATCTATCTGACTAAAAATACCTAACACAGTGCATAAAGTAAGTGGAAATTTATGAGAGCAGTTTCAAAAGAGTGATGTGATATGTAAGGTGTTTGACCTGCAGGATAAAACCCACAAAAAACGTTCAGTGACTGTCTGAGGCAGAGATGAAAGCCAGTGCTGAGTCAACTAACCGTGAAGAGGTGAAGAGTGAACCGTTGACTCCCCCGAAGGTGGATAGAGCCACCGAGATGGGCATGATCCATGCCATGACTCCCAGCAGCTTCTCACCAAATGTCTGAGGAATGGGAGGATGAAGGTTAGAGGTTAGGTGAAAGGGAAGGATGGTGGAGTAAAGCAGATTCAGACACACGGTTAGATGCCTATTTCAACATATTTTAAATCTATTTAGTACAATGAATGAGCCACAGAAGGTAGGAGTTGAGCACTGACAAACAGGGAGCACATGAAGGGGGCAGAGTCTTCCTACTGTTAAGTCAGTTTTTAATCAAGAGGCATCCTACGTCACAGTCAGAGATACTCACCACGGCAACAGCGTTTGATGCAAGCAGCTCCTGGGGACTCATAGCGGTGACGTAAGCGATGTTGGCAAAGACATAAACAAAGGTGACAAGGGGGATGGAGATAAAAATGGCACGAGGGAGGTTCCTATAGACAAAGAAGCAGTATTTACTTGACAGAAAGGAGGGGAACGCTTAAGAGACAGAGGGAGCAGGGTTTATTGTAGTACAAATGGATGCTTAGTATGGAAGTAAATTTCCACTGCAATGTTTGAGGGTGCAGGAACTACATTTTGCAAATGCTTAGTATGGAAGTAAATTTCCACTACAACGTTTGAGGATGCAGGAACTACATTTTGCAGTTCAGCATTTGAGAGCTCACAGGCACTGATCTGTAAGAGCAAATCAGATTTGAGCATAATCCTGGCCCCGCGCGTGCTCGTTTCTGAGTTTGCTCTCAAATTTCTCCACTGTGTTTTGTATGAAAGTCTGCTGATGCCAAAAACAAGTTGTGAGTGCTATTCAGGACACAAACCTGAATTTGAGAGTGTGCAGCCATGGATTTGTGAGAGCAGAGACAGATTTTAAAGTGAGAGGATCCCTGCTGCTCGCTAAAAAATCATCTGTTACCCTCTTGATTCTGTCTTCCCTTGGTCTCAAATCTGTCATGCCTGCTCACTTTCACATTCAGATTTACAAACTGAATAGCACTCGAAACTTATTTGGCCTACTTTCAAAACGTTTGGCGCTGACAAACTTTCACACAAAACCCAATGGAGAATTCTGAGCACAAACTCTGAAACGAGTGCACGCATGGCTGAGACCACACTGAAATCTGATTGTGCACTTACAAATCTTTGCAAACCAAGTAGCTCTCGAAATGTGGTTCATACACCCTCAAATGTTTGAGATGATTCACTTCCATAGACTTAGGTTATTAAATATGAAAATGCTGCAGAAATGAAGAAATAAGCCATTTTATACACCAAGACATTGTTTGTGATCAAAGGCCAGACAGTGAGGCGAGACTGAATACATTTCACAGAGCTTTAACAAAAAGGATCAGGGATTAAACCTGGAAGCTCAGTTGGTATGTGACCGCTAAGCACTGACATTACTACAAGCAGCTTTTAATTCTGCTATATTCCTATGGCCATGAGCCACTTGGTGCTTTGGAAGGTGGTTTTCTAACCACAACACAATATTTCTGGAAATATAGGAGGCAGAGTGTCTTACACGTAGGGGTCCACTAGCTCTTCTGTGACGTAGTTGAGGAAATTCCACCCTCCATAGGCAAAGGAGCCTTGTAGGAAGGCTAAGGCTATCAAACCCACGTCATAGTCCTGGAACGGCTCAAAGGCATTGACTGGCTCCAACCAGTAGTACTCGCCTATAGGTGCAGAAGACAGTGCCAAAGAGGAGGCAAACTCTAGTTTGGTGCAGCAGTAAAAAAATATTTTGCATTTTGTGGTCTTAAGAAAACCCATTCCTGTTTCATTGAAACTGTCTGTGTTCCTTATGTAAATGTGAACAGCCTTACCTAACACAGTGGGTCTGCTCCTGATCATTTTACTGTGGTTGCTAATGTTGTCTTGCTGAGGGGGTAAACAGGCTGGTTTCTACTAAAGTTTGGGCTTGTGTTAAGGAAACCCAGATGAAAACCATCATATAATGTAATAAGCGTGTGTAAAAGAACCTGTAGAAGACATTCAACTAAATGCCTTTAAACTGACTTCAAGTTTCAAAAATCTGTTTGGGGTAGATGTCTAAATCATTAACTTTTAGGAATCCTGTGGGTTTTTTTCTCCATTTGTTATATTTTCCTTAAATCACTTCGTGATCCATGTTTTCAGGATTAAAGTATTTCTCCTCTGTTCTTTCACATCCTGTTTCTCATGTATGACCTAAAATTTTCCATCAAATCAACCACTGAACTGTTCATAATCTCAGACAATGACAAATCCCCATGTAGTTGTTACAGGGGCCACTCTCTGCAGCTCCTGTAATAACTGGCCCCCAGTTGTGTTTAATGTGCAGTGCCACAAAGGCGTGCTGATATTAGCCATGTGAGTTTTAACCAGAAGGGCCCGGGCACCTGATTGATCCCAAATGACTGAGAAAGACCCCACTGACACCAAGCATTTGTGTGTGACTTTTTCCATTTTACACACTATGTGCATATGCATTCATGGGTGCACAGATCGGCCGCTTACCCTTGCAGATCTGCACGATGCCCATGATGATGATGAGGCCGAGGGCCAGCAGTTTGCCAGCAGTGAACATATCCTGCACTCTGGTAGCCCACCTCACACTGGAGCAGTTCACCCATGTCAGCAGCACTAAACAGACACACAAGAAAACACAGTGGTTGTTTTAAAATCCAGTTTCCCACTTGTGTCTCCCCTCAAGTGGCTTTAGAGTCGGCAAACACCTTTTCCCACACTGTCTAACATCATCACATTTATAGTTTCTCTATCAGCTTGTGCCAACTTTTCACAGAAGCTAAAGTATGTAAAGTTTTTTAATGCGCCATTTGCATAATACACTGTATTTTCTACATGTTCCTAGTTTTCTTGATCTTGTAAAAGAACTCACTGCATTGTTTGTTGTAGCTGTGGTTATAAAATATCTCAGAAGTTAGTGTGAAAGTGGTTATTGTTTCTGAAAACAAAACTCTAATCACTAGGAAAACCTAGAGGCAACTATGGACAATCATGAGTTCAATGAAGTTATAAAAAAATCAAAATAGGTCTATTTATGATCATCTAGCCCAGGTTTCTCTTTATTATGTTGAATATCACACCCCACACTCATCTGGTGTTCAGGAAGAACAAAACAAGCTGTAAAAAGCAAACTCACTTCAACTTAAGATAACACAGGCAAAGATAATAGATTTGATCTGCACCGCTGGTGACAACAGGCCAGTTGCTTCAGTCCAATACCGTGTTATTAAATAGGCCTGTCTGAGTCAGCAAATGAATTAACTCTGAGCTCAGCTGTCACCACAGGAAGGCTGATGTGCATGAACAGATATGCATGTCTGCGCTCATGAGAATATACTGCACAGAGTACAATTTATACTCTGGGTTTGTTTGTAGACCTTATGAAGAGGTTTACGGTGTTTTTAGGTGTAGTGAGAGAGTATTTAAAAGGCAGGGAGGCGACATTCAGACTAAAACTGACTGCGAACAGAAGAAGAGTTCCTCCTACAAACAACTAGAAATAAGATGCACATGCAGTTCAGCTTATGACTTGATCCATGTCCAGTGCACATACAAACACAGCCACAACCAATTCAAATACAACTGACTGATCAACTAAATACACCCTACACCTCTTAACTTAACCATGAGAAAACAGAGTTGTTCTGATCTTATCACCACCGCACTGCATTGTAGTGTCAACATGACACCTCCTTGTCTTCTTTGTTGATTGGCAGGTTGTGACTGAGGGAACTTTCTGTGGGTCCGATCAGCCACCTGTAAGCTGAGCATGCAAATGTGTTATGTATGTGTGTGAGGAGATTTGCCGAGTTAACAATGGTGTGCAGAAAAACATGCCAGTGCAACGTCCTCGCACTCTGCCATGTGGAGGGAAAGACGGGTTCAAGGGAGGAAACCCTCCTGCATGGTTGCGAAATATTATACCTTTTACCCAACAGAACAGAATACCCAGACTGTTCAGCAGCTGGTGGTGTCTGGTTTGACTGTCACTGAATCTTGTTGTGGCTGGATTTTTAGTTATATAAGCAGGTTTATATCATGCGCACTATTAAATAATATTCTAAAAGAAGCCAACTTTAAAACATCACAGAAATGTGTTTAAAAAGCAGATAAACACACACATGCTTCTTAAGCAACAAGGATGACGTCAGGGTTGAAGGGAAGCAGCTAATCTCTCACATATTTCCCATGAACTGCAAAACAAGGATAAATCAAAGAAGACTCAGCAATATTTTTGCTGAATGTTGCCTAACATCTGTCCACCTGTCAGATGACAGAGGATCTGCACTGACCTGCTGGCAAAGCAAACCACAATCATTTCACCTAAAGAAAAAAGGTAACTGTAGGTCAGTGCATGTGTAATCTAAGCTGACTGAGATGATATATGAAATCTAAGTCAGCATATAAAACTGAAAACCTGTTTGGCCGACATCATTTACAGAACTCATGGTTCCTTGAGTGCAAAACGTGTTTGTGCGTGTTGTTCCGCATGCCTCTGGAAACCGAGGTTTTCCCGCAACTCGATCACATGACAACCCAGGTGATAGCCAGCTCCAGGAAAACCCTCCCAGTAGAGCTTAAGTGAAAAAGGAAATCTAAAAAAAGAGAGTGGCAACTACGAGACGTTCCGCTGAAGAACCTAAACAGCTGTTGTGTTGGATTGTGCACATCAGCACCGGTTCTCAACTATTTTTGAACAAACTGCTTCCATTTGAACTCAGAGTGCTGAAGAAATGTGCACAAAAAATTTTGCAGAAGTTGAAGAAGGGACACACTTGGACACAGAAAAGCATTTAGTGAAACTTTAAAAAAGGATATTTCTGCTGATGACTCCCCAGTAAATGTCATCACAATTGCAGGAGTTAGGCCACAGCTCTCAGCCTTGTGTAGAACTGTTCAAAGTAGCATGTGTTTTTAAAAGGTCAGGTAAGGGTATAAGCCGAAAACAGCCTAACATGCTTGAATACACCCACACATGCCTGTCTCTGTCTGAGGGCTGCCTGCAGTATTTGGCCAGTGTGTGAGAACTTTCTTGAGGGATTCAGATTGACCACTGTCATGGTAGCTGCAACACATTTATCAGTTTGTCTTCACACATTCACAGCTCACTGCTACACTGCTCTGGCTGCTACATCTTTCCTTCCCTGTATGAACTCTGAGCTAGGGTTAAATAACAGGGGAGCTTCAGAGAATAAGGGGGAACACTAGGGACAGAAACAAACAAATCACCCTGCTTCTGACAACTGTTAAAAACCTTGATGCTATAACTTTGACTTGCAGCGCAACATGCTTTCAATGTACACTCACACACTGTACAGTGTCTGAGCAGTTAGTATCTCAAACCTGTCTATATCTGACCTAATGAGTTTCAATAAATCCATTAAAGAAAAAATACTTGTTTAAATTGAAATTGTTTTGTTTGTGGAGGCAAACTCATGAACTAGGTGCCAACTTTAATAGAAAACCATTAGACACTATATTTGAAACAAGCTGAAACAAGTTTAAGCGCTCTAAACGTGCTTGACGCCTGTATTGTTTGAAGTATGTCTTTTCTAAAGAAACATGCCTGTGACTAAGTATCTGCACAAACATCAGGCCTGACACGCGACTCACAGAGGCAGACGGCAGCCAGCAGACGCAGGCCGGTCTCTGGCGGGAAGCAGGTGGGAAATAAAGGCTGCAGGACGTAGTTGGAGAAGGTCAGCGCGATCACAGCCTGGTTGGTCGGGTAGATGACCAGCACGGCGATCCACAGACGCAGGAACCTGAAGAGAAAAAGGTGGGAGAGTGGCCCGTTTACACATAGAAGGATGGAAGAAACAGCTGGGTGTAGACCTACGTAATCCCTATTAGCCAAAGGGCGGTGAAATCGTTTTAATAAAAACAAAAAGACGGAGACATGCAATCCTGAAGCAATTAGTCATCAAAACATTTTAATTATTGATAATCAGTTAATCATTTGAGTTATTTGCCAAGTAAATATTTGCTAATTTCAGCCTTTAAAATATGAGGATTTACTGCATTTTATTTTAGCTATTTTGATGTTTTACAGGCTAAATGATTCAAATCTAGATAATAGTTTAAATTAGTTAACAAATTAAAACAATAACAATAATAATTCCTTGCAACCCTCCAGAACAACCAAAGGTGGCAAGCACATGCTGGTTGTGACAGGCTGATACTGAAGCTTGACACCAAACCATTTCTTTTATTAACCTACATTGAGGTTCAGCCACAAGCACTTGTAACGTACTCTCGCTATTTGGTTCTTTGTCAGTGCAGTGAGACACTGATTAGACAATGCAGCAGTTACAAACCTTAGCTGGAAACCAGACTAATAAAATTTCTCTTTGGCAGCTGGTTTGGCTGAGGTGACTCATTCAGCTTTGTAAAGACTGGCAGTTCACTCAAGTAGCTGCAGTCCCGATACACCGGTACCAGCCCACTACCTTGCTGATGCAATCACCGTCAGTGGTGAGACAGATGGTGCCTGAAGCTAATTAACAGATTCGTACAGGAGGAAAAGGCAGGTTAGTCTGACATAACAAAGAGCCTTTGAAACATTATCCGTCTTTTAACGTTGTTCACATGTTTTTATGTCTTGTTGTGTGTCCCTTTGTCCGTATTGTAGATACATTCTCTTGCCCCATTGGCAAACAAATAAACTTGTACTTGAACTTGAAGGTGGTGTAGGTATTTCCGCCAAGCAAACACAAACCCACTCCTCCACGCCCGTATACACAGGACAACAAAAACAAACACTCCATGAGCAGTTTATTTATCCTAGGCACAGGTCACATGGTAACGGTGAGGTCCCAACACTTCAGAAGCCTTGAACTATAAATTCTCTGAAGGTACAAGTTTGCTGATTTGTACAGATAGCTCCAGCACAAAGGGACAAAAATAATCACTGGCTGTTATGTCTGGATGAATTCCTTCTCTACCAAGAAAAACCCGATTATACATCCCCTTGTGATAGTTGAAAAAACAATGGTCTAATCTGTGTTTACAGTCTGTGCATATTGTTTTGCTTGGGAAATGATTCCCAAGCATTTAATGTAAACAGCGTTATGTGAAAGCTAACCATATATGAATGAATGGAAGGAGGCTGTGGGTTGAAAGTAAATTCTAAACAGGTTGACAAAGAAAAACCTCACAATAGAGTCATGGTGACTGTTATGAGTCATTTGGCTTAATATCTTTTTGCTACATTTAACTTTTGCATTTGGGAGTTTTATTTGACACCAAATTTAAGTTTGATAGACAAATCAACTCAGTCATAATGTATGTATTTGATAATGTATGGATTATTATTACATAGAACTAGGGGTGGATTTAACTCTACAAGTATTTCAAACTTGTCACCCCTCTGAGTGTGTACCCAGCTTGGCCACCCCATCCAAAATTTTCTAGATCCGACCCGGGTTGAAAAAAGCCCCTCTGATTGCCCCATCTAGGTGACTGAATGTCTACCTTGATGTCTAGTGTTTGCTCACCCAGCCAGTCCTCCAAAGATGTCCTTGACATAGGAGTAGTCTCCTCCTGATTTAGGGATGGTGACACCTAGCTCAGCGTAGCACAGCGCCCCGATAGCGGTGATAATGCCCGTAATGATCCAGACAATCAGGGCCACGCCCACGGAGCTGGCATTCTCCAGCACCCCTTTCGGACTGACGAAGATACCTGACCCTATAATGTTACCTGGTGGAGGGAGGAAGGAGAGGTATCAGTTTTTAGTACAAAGTGAAAAGGAGATCATGTTTACACTTCGAGAGCAGTTTAGTTTTCATGGGAAGGTGTCAGATGTGTCATGTTTTGTAGCTCTGGATAGGTTTTGACAAGCTTGGGCCTGGATTACAAACTGGGAGGATGGATGTTAAAGGATGTGCAAGAATAAAAAAGCTATTAAAGAACCATGCCAGATGTTTTGCATGTTTTTTTAATCCATTTTTGACAAATCACTAACTTTTGTTTTAGAAATGTGAGCATTTTATTCCATTCCAGTAGTTCTTTGGTTTCAATTAATTAAAATAAACTTAAGGAAATTTGCATTTCAGTTAAATGCATGACCACATAACAATCACTGAAACAACTTCAATTTTTTTAGGTGATTTAGATTTACCCTTCATTACCATTCCCATGTCTGTACATAGAGTAAAAAGTTATAATAGGGACAAAATTAGCATAGCTTAGCATAAAGACTGAATTGTAGCTACAGAGCTAAATCCTGCAAACACACTGGTATGGTCCTTTAAGCTTATTATATACATAGTAACTATTCAGTTTGTGTTGCTTTTACTTTCATAACACTTCTACTTCCACTTGAGATATACTCTGTCATATAACATTGCAGGATAATGTTACGAATACTGGCTAGGTAGGAGCCAATGTGCAGACACACAAGGCAAGGAAAGGTTCAAGTAGGACATTTAATAAATAATACAGAACGAAAGACCAAAGGGAAAAAAATACAAGGGCTCAACCTGACGACATGAAACAAAGGATACCAAAACAGTTTGGTCAGGGAGGAGAGAGGAACAAAAAGTCAAACTGGAGAAAAGAACCTAAGAACTAGGGAGCAACTGTGGTTCAGTGGGAAAAACAGTCATTTCCCAACCAGAGGGTCAGAGGTTTGAATCTCGGTTACTGCAGTCCACATGTCGAAGTGTACTTGGGCAAGACACTGAACCCCCAAGTTGCCCCCAATGGTTAGAGCCATCGGTTGAGTTGGCGCTGCAGATAGCTGTATCGGAAACAAATTCCTTGTGTGTAACATACTTGGCCAAATAACGGTGATTATTATTATTAGTAGTATTAGTGAGAGGAACAAAGCCAGGACAGGAACAGACACAAAAAATTTACAGGGGTACACAAACTGGCAGAGTGTGGTCAATGGATTCAGCAAGCAGAATGAACCAGCAAGAGGCTGAGGGAAAGGAGGAGAATATATACACACTAGAGCAGAGGATAATGAGTGATGATTGCAAAACCGAGTAAAGCTGGGATGGGTGAGGTGACACAGGACAAGACGTCTAACCAAAATAAAAGCACCAAACAGGAAGCAAATCCACAAACCATAACAGATTTACGTGTACTGTGTGTGAGTGTGAGAACTTTCAGACCTTTTGTTTACACAATAAAAGGGAAAGTAGTACTAGGAAAACTAGTACCTCATAGTAAAACTAGCTCACTGATGAAGCTGTTCGCTTGTGGGCAAACAGAAAAAACACAAAAGAACAGGAAATAGACAGAGATCGTGAGTACAAAGTGAGAGACAGAGAAAAGAGAGTGAGCACAGAGGAAGTACAAACCGCCAACCTGCTGACTTAGCATAGAGTGACCAGGAGATGGAGAGCGGGGTGAAAGAGTGCAAAGAGGAAGGCGGGATTAAAGGCGGATACATTATGTCCTAAACATATTCAATGAGCATTAAAGTGTTAAGAAGTTTACACAGAAAGGACGGACGACTGGGTTCAGGTCCAACATGAAAGGGGCTGCCTGAGCCCAATTTAGAGGTCTGAGGTCAGGAGGGTCCAGTCAGATTCAGCTGATTGGACTGACTGTGCTCAAGGCCAGCATCCAATAACAAAGAGTCAAAGGTTGAAAGTTTTCAATCATAAGTGACTGAATGATAGGCTGAGTTGCATTTTACAATACAAAAGTCCAAGGTATGAATGATACTGTCACACTGCTCAGAGTTAAAGGAAGCTCAGACATTAGACGTGTGTGGATCAGTTTTCCTGCTACAATGAACCCATTGAACTACAGTGGAAAACCTACAGCTACAAGCTAAGTGCATAGTGTGACAACATTCTGTAAAAATTCCAAATAATTTGTGGTGCCAGCATCTCAAATGTGAGGACCTGTTGCAATTCTGAGCCAAAGTCAAGAATAGCTGAACTAAACTACTTTGAACTATTTATTAATTACTAATAAACTTAACAGGTTAAACATTAATAAAAATAAGTTGCAAACTCAAACAAGTCATCCTGTTTTCTTCGCATGCTCAACATGGTACTGTCTGCTTTCTGAGATCAGTTTAAGCTAAGACGAATCCTGAACATATGTAAAACCATGTGTTCAACTGAAGCATGAGGACGTGCAAATTTGTTCAACACTGACAGAGTCCATATGCATCATGAGCAGATGGTGAGGACAGATGTCCACTTATATAGCTCCAGCTGCAGATAAAAGGTAGAGAAACGACAAACAAAGCATCTTCAGTGCACGACCTTTGACATGTGGGAAAAAGCAGCCATGCACTGACTCAGCACGTTTTTCTGTCGCAGACTCCCTGAGGTGCCTCTGCAGTGTTTGTTCGACTCTGTAGAGCCAATTCAAGGTATCAATCTAGTACAGGATGGTTTGGGGGAGTTTTATATGAGGCTTTCATAGGAGCAACTAAATGTGCACACTTGCATGTTGTGCATCTGTGTCATGTACATCATCGCACACCAGTGTTTGAGACAGATGCTGACTAATGTGGAATCTTCGAGTTTCCTGATTGTGTGGCCAATTTTACATCCTTTTTTTAAAATGAACTGTTGCCAAAGCACTGGTTATCTCTTGAACTTGATCTAAAACCAACTGAGGGTTTGTATCAACTTTAGGAAGCAGAACCCTCCATTACATTTGCCCACTTTCTGGACCAAATCTTTGTTTTGTTCCAACTCCCTGCAGCAAGATATGTTGATGTCCTCCATTGTTATTGAATTGCTGTTTCACACAGGAAGTGGCTTGGTCTGAGACTTGTGCCCTGAACATATTTCTGTTCCCCCTTGGGCTTTGTTTGGTAACTACTGACAGCAACAAGCTATGCTGCACTTCAGACGTCACAGCATGTGTCTTTATGTGTTTTTAAATGATGATTTCTTTTTTCCGTACTTTATGACAGCAGTTCCGTTCTGATTTTTGTGCCATATTTTGTGTTATCAGTTTTATGTTGTTCATCTGTAACCGATTATTTGGGCTACTATTTAAGCAACTAACCAATACTTTCATGAGCAATTAAATGATTAATCATCTGATCTATGAAATGACAGGAAACTGAAATGCATGTTACAGAGCTTATGGCTTCAGTTTGCATGTTTTTACAATCCAAAACATAAAAAATGTTTAGCTTACTGTTGCAATCCAATCCTAGCTGGCACTGGGCAAGAAGCGGGGTACAACCTGGACGGGTACTATTGGATTAGTGAAATTAATAATCACTATTAACTAACTAACTGTTTCAACTCCATCCATTATCACCACTTCCTAGCTTGGACAGGACATTTAAGTCTTTTCTGGTACAATTTGAGTTAAAATAACTAAAAAATGCTTGTGTATTATGGTTTTACAGTTTGAGAGTAATAATCATTTGCACATTATGGTATTTGTCCTGGGAAGGCTTGCTGCTACACAGAGTTTGAAGTGGGGTTCAAACATGCAAATAGTGTGTTATGTGTTTGGTCGTGCCCATGACACAACTGGATGCCACCGCTCCACCAAACACAAACACACCAACAGCCAGGCTCTGAATATTATGGAACATGTGTTTGTTAGTGTAGCATTTTGTTTGAACACTAATCAGCCTTTTAAAATTAGTCCATACATTTACAGTACTACCATGTTAAATCCCTGCTCAAACAGCCAGAAGCTGAGGCAACATACTTCTTGGCCCAAAGCCTCACAGGACCTGCAGACCTTGTTTGTAGAGAGTTGATATTGCACTGAAGCATTACTGCACTTGTTTCTTTGTATTTTGGACCTAGCCAAGGTTTTTAATGATTTTTAATAATTTAGGCTTTGCAGCACAATTCAGTTATAAATGACATGAAGGATTAACTTAAACTTAATATTGAATTAAATTAATGTGGATTTAAGTCTGTGCAATAATTCTATTAAAAACACAATGAGTGGAGTCCAGCTCAGGCGTGGCTAAGCCATGCAAGCTAATAAAGCAGCATTATCAGGGTGAAGCCTTCTTCCAAGTGGCCAAAAGTTCACTTCTAATCCTAATTCCTGGCTTTGCACATTTCTGGACTGCTCTGGGTGTGAGAAATGCCTGGACTGTACAACAGGCCATAAAACATTTTTATGTCCTTGTGTGCCCTGCCCTCCTCATGCAAACCCAGTCAGGCACATTCACATATTAAGGATCAGACAAGACACGTGACTGCACATCTCCCTCGCGCATGACAGTGTGAGCTGAAGGAGCATGAATGAAGAGGAGAGTGACTACGTGTATGGACTCTGGATGGCCATAAAGATCCTCTAAGTCGACTGATAAATACAGAGCGATAAATTAAATATTTAATTATTTAAATGTCTTTGCATAGATCCACACAGCGCTGGGACCACAGAGAAGAGATAGTGGCAGCATGCAGTTTGAGTTTAACCAGGGATTTTCTAGATGGTCTGACAGTATTTGCAATCACCTCAAAACATGAATGAAGCAGAAATTTGTCCTTTTCGAGTGCAAAATCAAAGATACAGAAATAAAGTTACAAACTACTCAGAAACAAGGTCTTCTGCCAAGGTTGCTCTCTCTCTCCCCCTCTTGTAGCAAACCTCCTGGGAGGTCTCATGTGCACACCCGGTCACGCTCGCTCTTCTTTCCTCCCGTTACCGTGGAAACACATGAACTACTGAGTCACCCTCTCTCTTCTCTTCATCCTGTCAAGGTCAATATGAAGAGCTCACGCTCCTCAGATCCACTCATGGCAACCTGTGCCATAGCTCATCATCATGGGCGTACTGATCGATCTGACATCTGAAGGCATTAGTGCTGCTCGGTTGTTGCTTGTATTAAATGATAAAGACCTCTCACAGTAACTGCGTCACTGGATGATCTTTTTTAACCAAGTTTAATAGTGACAGTATAGAATAAAGTAGAGCTCAAACAATTAGTTGATTTGTTATTTAAGTTACAATTAAGTGGAGGATTTAGTGCTTTTTTTGGTCTTACGGGATAATAAATTGAAAATTTGGGGGTTTCAATTTTTGGTCATACAAGAAAGAACATTTAAAGACATTACCCTGGGCTTTAACAAATTACAGTATGCAGTTCACTCTTTTAAATGATTAATCAATTATTGAGAGAATAATAGGCAGATTAATCAAAGCTTGCAGCCCTAGTATAAAGAAACATGGCTTCCCGATGTCTCCTATCATGCCTATTTTACATCTGCAAGTGCAAATACATTTTAAAAAAACATTTATTTAGTATTTAGAGTATAAAAATATGACACTTAATACAATCTTATGCACTGATTTCAAGTTATTATTGAATATTTCTACAAAATCTCATCACTAACATAACCAAAAACCCTAAAAGTATACCAGCAGAGGTAGCAGTATGTCTGTTTTGGGATGAAAGTCAAGGATGTTTTGATTATCACTGAGCCAGATGTGTACAGTACCTGATCAGTTTTGTATTGTTAATCAATCATTAAACTTGCTGTCGTCTCAAAAAGAACATCATGAGAAAAGCTGGATCATTTGAGTTTCTATGTTGCACATGTTTATTTCTAAATGCAATTATAGGCTTAGCACAGCAACTTACTGTAGTACTAGATCTATGAAATACTACCACAGTTTGGTGAGACAGAGTAAAAACAGAATGATTTGAGATATCCTGACTTACAATAACACTGGATCCTACATTTTCCAAAATAAATATCAGTCTGACCCCTGAAAACTTTCCCTAGAGCTGCTTCAGAAATGAACTAAGTAGTATCCCCCATGATTAATACAAAAAGTCACCAAAACCTATTCTTACATATTTAATCTATGTGTCAGCAGCCCCTCTCACTGTGTCCAAGAAAGACACGTGAGCCTGCAACGTGTTGTGAATAGGCAAATCATCTGAGCATCAGAAAGGAGAGAGGGTTTGATTTGATTTGATTTATTCATTCAAGCATGTAAAACAGTTATGTCAACACATGTAATTTCACACATATCCAACAATGCTAATCCAATATCAATTTGCTTATACCTAGTACATGCTTGAATGGAGTAGGAAGAAGTTAGACTTATCTAGTCCTACCCCATGACATCATCTTACAACTTTTAAGTCCTAAGCAGTATCTCTACATAAATAATTATCCTCTACACCACACAAGTAATATACAGAATTATTACAGCAGAGTGTTAACATTCTACATAATTACATTCATAGATAATTAATCTTTTTTTGGTTGTACGTATAGCATGAACCCTTAAATTTAAGTGACCCCTTAAGTTATATCCCCCTTCCCTTTCACCAAATAACTTTTGGATTCCACCAGGTAATAAGTCGTTCCTGGCTTTATACATAAACACAGCAGTCTTATATTCCACTAAATCAAAGAATTTTAACAATTTGGACTGTATGAAAACTGCATTTGTGTGATCCCTATACCCCATCTTGTGCACAACTCTTATCGCTCTCTTCTGTAATATGTACAATGGTTGAAGTGAACTCCTGTAAGTGTTTCCCCAGTTTTCAACGCCATACTCCAAATATGGCAAAATCAATGAAGAATACAAAATGCGCAATGCTTTAACGTCCAGCATATATCTAACCCTTGCCAATATCGATATATTTTTAGCTATTTTATGCTGAACATATCTGATATGAGATTTCCAGGATAATCTGTCGTCAACCATGACACCCAGAAATTTGATTTCATATACTCGTTCGATGTTAGCACCCCCAATTCTCAATTGAAGTTCATTATGTGGTCTACGGTTCCCAAATACCATATATTTAGTTTTCTCCAAATTCAAAGATAGTAAATTACTATCACACCATTTCTTTATCTTCACAAATTCCTCTGAAACCCTTACCGAGAGTTGCCGTAAGTTTTCATCAGATGCCCAAATGGTAGTATCATCAGCAAACAAAACCATTTTAACAGTTTCAGAAACCTTACATATATCATTGATGTATAATATAAATAATTTAGGTCCCAAAACAGAACCCTGAGGCACTCCACATACAATGTCCAGCTCACTCGATTGGTATTCACCCAACTTCACAAATTGACGCCTCTGTGCAAAATAACTTTTAATCCATTTCAGAACCATTCCTTTGATCCCATATTTTTCTAACTTATCCATTAATAATTCATGATTGATTGTGTAAAATGCTTTTTTTAGGTCAATAAATATTCCCATCGTGTATTTGTTCAAATCCATAGCATTTGTTATGTCCTCCATCAGGTCGGTAATGGCCAGAGATGTCGATCGGTTCGACCTAAAACCATACTGGCAATCAGAGAGGATTTTATGTCTATCAATAAATGTGTCTAATCTGTTATTAAAAAGTTTTTCCAAGATTTTTGAAAATTGTGACAACAGAGAAACCGGTCTATAATTTCTGAAGTTGTGCTTATCACCAGATTTATACAGTGGAATAACCTTTGCTATTTTCATAGCAAAGCATAGAGAGGGTGATGATATCCTCCTCACTGGCCAGGCTACAGAGAAATGATGAAAGGTTCACTGATTAATGATGGCTGGGGTGGGGGGTGGGGGGACAGAGGGCACAAGACTGCTGCAAGACATACTGAGAGAGATCTGGCATCACTATTACAGAGAGAGCAATGTTACAGAAGGAACCAATGTATACCCTTCTAGGTTGTCATCACATACTACTAGTTAAACAGATGCACAAAGCTCGCTTTTGATCAGCTATCTATGGAAGTGGTGGTGTAGTGCATTGCAGCAGCAATATCACTGACTGGGTTACAACATCCTTATCGTGAAACTCCCACATACTTATAATCAACTTTATGCTCCTCAATTACTGAGCAGTGGAATCTGATCCCAGTGCACCTTTTGCACCCTGCCTGAAGTGACAGTGTCTAAATAAGTATCACACTCCAACACATGTGCCACTGCAGACCCTTTCACCTCCCTATTTGTCATTTTCTCCCTGTCTCCCTCTCATTGTCTCTTTCCCAGCCAACACAGGCAAAGCCATATTGAGTATAAGATTGGTTCATTGTCCAGCCCTGGTACACCAGTCAGAATGTGATGCTTGTCAGTATTAACCATTAAAAATGAAAAACTATGACAAATTGTTGCCTTAAATATAACTAACATTTTTCTGGTGCTTTATAATTGCTGTTGATCAAGTTAGTTTGATTTTATATCATGAATGCAGCATGATATTTGCATAAATTTCTCTAGTTGTGTTGTTCTGGACTTGGCATGAATTGCCTCATGGCTGGGGACCACTGTGCAGCAGTGATGGCCCAGACTGGGAGGAAATAAATAGCTTGAGAAGTTATCTTAAACAAAGCACTGCGTGTGTCTCATTTTCACACAAAATAAACAGTGTGATTCTTAATAATGTATTGGTTGTTGTAAAAAGTAAATTAAGCCTCAAATTCTATGTATTTCAAATGTGCCACCCCTCTCTGAGTCTGTACCCTAGCATGGCCACCCCTTCCAAATTTTTCTAGATCTGCCCCTGACACTAAAACACACTTTGCATACTTCCTCATATGCACATATCTGCTGTAGGCTTTCGCACAAAACAGACAGGAAATTGAGTTGTTATGGAGTTAATGTGACAAGTGGTTGCATCATACGTGTGACTGCCACTTACCAACAATAATGCCGCAGGCGCTCACAAGCCCGATTTCTTTTTTCAGCGCAACTCCACCTCCTGACCCCTCTTCTCCGGCAGCATCCTTGGCAGAGCCCGACGCGCTGCTCCGTTGTCTTGGACCGTCCGTCATTTTAATATCTGGATCTGTCTTAGCCCGCTTCTTTCTAGTTCTGCCTTTCTTGTCCACCTCAAAGCACGCCTCACCTTTGTTCACGTTCAGTAAGACGTGCTGCACTTATCTGCTTGATTATTGCTGCGCTGTCAGCAAACTGTGTCAACGGCGGGTCTCAAAGACAGTAAAAATAGAACAAAGCAGGAAAAAATATGCAAAAATAAGTCCAGCTGTTCTGGAAAATGTCCTGCTTTTACAGTGCAAGATCCTGACTGGAATGAGCGCAGGTGCTGTTTCCTGTTTCGGTGTCACAGGTGGTGCTACAGGTCACAATCTACACCAAGCGCTTGTTATAAAGCGAAAATCGCATATTCCAGTGACAATCCTTTAAAATAATAAAAGGAAATAACTTAGTCCATCACTTGATGTGAGCTACAGCGACAAAAGCTCTCCAAAACAGAGAAGCTCTCACTGTTTCCCTGCTCCAGGTCAGAGCAAAAGGGGGAAAAGCATCCGCTGTGAGGGGAACATCAGAAAAGTCTTGTGAAGTCGTTCAGGACTTCCTTATAAATATTTTGCGTTCAGCATGAACAAGAAAGGTTAGATTGTGCATGTGAGTACAGCAGCGCCACCCACCCCCGCTTCCCCCATCCACTCGGAGCTGCTGTTGTTTCTCCTCCCGCAGCCTCTCGGAGAAACGTCCCACGCCCCCAAATCTACCATCACAGCTGCACCTTCCACAAGAGCACAGGGCTCATCCACAACCAGGGCAGCTTGTGGGTTTAAGAACAAACCACGCTTAGATTGATTGCACCTTAACAATGCCAATTCTTTGTTTGTTTTGTGTCTCCACCACTTTTCAACTGTCACTGCCTTTTTATTCTCTCGCACTCATTCACTTATTATTCAAACTGCAGCAGGAGCCAGTGTCTAAATTTAGCCCTTTCACTGGAACGTCACTCTAGATGCTGCAGAACTGCTGGTGCGTAACACATATCGTAGCCTGTGCGTGTTTACACTGGACGAATAGACTCTCTGTGTAGTGTTTTTCCAGTCAAGCTGAGACATGGCTTTGTCTTTGCTTTTGAGAGGAGTTTGTTACCAACTCTGACCCTACATTCAAACAAAACATTAGCTTTTAATTTATGTTTCCTGACCGTACCCCCTGCAACATTTATGCCATTTCAGCGTGAGAATGAGAGCGTCTTCTCTTTATGACATGGTTCAGCATTGTCTGGATGCAAATGTTTGCTCCCTGCTGAAAAGACTTAATATGCCCTGCACTGTCTCCATAGCGTAGGCTATGTGTAGGTGCCTGTGCGCCTGCTGTGCATGCTGTTACAGGAACAAGAATCAATACAGAATTAATGCTTTTGCAGAGAAATGATGTAATCTTATCTGCTGTTGTGAGGAACCCACTCTGAGCTCCAGCTTCAAGGCTTTTCTTTTGAAATTATGATATGCTATGTAGTAGGATAAGTGATTTACTCATATACATCTTTGAGATGCCATCCAGTGGGTACAGAAGGTTTCCAGACCCTTTCAGTCTTCCACATTTTGTTGTTTCAGACTCATGTTAAAATGGATTTGTTAGGTATTTTTAGTCAGATAGAAATTGGATAGATACTTTATGTATTAGAAATGTTTAGTGGAGATAGGATGTCTAGTTAGACTGTTAAATGCTTAGTCATGATTATGAGTTTCTACAGGGTACATCTGGTCAAGGATAACTAGAGAGAAGAGTTGATGACTGTCAGCAGACAGGGCGTTTAATATTATTATTATGACGTGTAGAACTGTAGCCTTAGCCATAATATGTTCTTATGTTTAAGTCACGACATGTTACTAGAGGTCATGAGAATGTTTTTAGCTACACACCACTTAAACAACAGACACACACACACACATTGATTTGCTTCATGTTTTGACTACTGCTATGCCCAGCTGCAAAGCTGGTAACAGAGACGTCTCGGTTGACGTTTCTGTGTAGTATGGGGCTAGCCCAACTGAAGGGATATAATGTATAGGCCTGGTGGGTTCAGGGTCTTTCATCTTACATCTGCCTGCGTGCATGTTGGAGGTGCAAGATGCCTGAGTGTGTAATGTTAATTTTACCTGTGATCCTTTGAATAAATCAGCACTGTTTTGAAGTTACTTGGACTGTCTCGTCTCAGAGTTAGCAACGGGTACAACAGATTCAATTCATTCTTTTTTCCTCATCAATCTACACACAATACTGCACAATGACAGCAAAAAGAAAAAAAAAGGTTTTTGGAACATTTTGTAAATTTATTAAGAATAAAAGAAAGATATCACTTACATAAATGCTCAGACCCTTTAGACACTTTACCTTTCTGAAGTTTTGTGTGTAGATTGATGAGAAAAATAATGAACTGAATCCATTTTAACATGAGACTGAAACTTGAAAGGGTCTGAAAACTTGATTGATTTTCTGTCTCTTTTGATTGGCTTTCATACAGTAAAACAATATCACTACGTGAGCTGTTGTGTTAGCACTTTTACTAATGACTTTTATTGATAACATCTATAAAAATGGCTGTATTGACAGTTTATACACATCTTACACGCTTTAGTTTGATGAGTGAGCAGGCTGAGCAGGTCATAGCTTCCTTCTGAGAACTAATGCCTTTTTAAAATCCTTACCATTTAGTGAATATGGCAAATGAAAAACAAGATACTATCTCTGTTCCAGGCTCACTTCTCAAATAACCATAGCAACTGAGTCTTTTTGCTTTTTTTCCTGAAAGAGATCAGAGCACAGCTGGACAGCAGCATCCCTAGAGTTAGCTGAGGTTCAGCGTATTGCAGCACAGATGCTTGATGAGAAGTTTTGAACCTTAGTCCTTCAGTTAATGTCCAACATTGACTTCATTAAAATCTCCTGTAATGTATAAAGAAAATTTGCGCAGTCTGTTGGAAATCAGTGTCGTGGCTGCAGGTGTAATGGTACATCCAGGTCTAAGCACGTCATAAGTTGTGAAAGAAGATAATCAATCATTTCCTCAACACGATCAGTGGATACATTTTATGATACATTACATAAACAGAATAATATAGTCACAGTTTTTGTTTAAATTTATTACAGTAAAAAACACTTGCTGTATGAAAACATCCAGTAATGACTTGCCTTTCTGTAAAGACAGCTGTATTGACAGTGTACACAGATCTTGTGCACTTTGGTTTTCTGTATAAACATTGTCTTTTTGCACATGGTTGTCTCCATGAGCGAGTCCTTGCTTCCTTCTGGTGCCTTTTTTAATCTTATACTTTAAAGAATATTGTGCAAAAGAACATCGTGTCTCTTTAAAGGTCAAGAACAGCTGAACTGCTACGGGCTGGTGTTGCATAAGCACAGCTTCTAATCTCTGCAAAACTCAGCAAGCCAGTGTTTCTCTCTGCAGTGGATAGAGCAGGATCACCTGAATCAGCTCAGCTCAGCCCAGTCTGAGCTGCACCTCTATATCTCTGCCCCAGACTCTAGTCTCAGTGTGAGCACACACCATTGTGATTCTTTGTTGACATTCAGCACCTCTCCCAAACATTTTCTTAGAAAGTCAGCAGCCATGTTTTGTTGCCATGCTGCGTTTGTTTTGAAAGTCAAAGCTTTTGGTTGAAAGTGTTGGTCCTCCCTGACAGTCTAAATTCTGCTTTAAAGTTTTATGGACCATGCCAACAGCACTGAAATATCTACATTCATGTACTCATAAAATCATTGTCACCATAAAATACATGCTAAGGTATCAGTATTCAAACACCAGTGTCCCCTTTAACAACAAACTGTGTTTATGTATTTTAGAGTCCAGTTAGATGGCTGCTTTGAAACGTAATCTGAGCCTATTATAAAAAATATTATTATAACTAAATCAACCCAGTATCATATGTGTGAAAATAAACTTCTGGAAATTCAGTAAAAAATGATGACTGTATCCAAAATCATTCTGTCAGTAATGGTTTTTTTATGCTTGCTCTCCACCGGTATATTCCTGAGTTGTATCAGAGGGACAAATGACCCATATGGTTGTTTAGGTTGGAAGATAAAGCAGCTTTATTGATCAAACACAATGACCCTTATTGTTCTGGTCGTGACAGTACTGATAGCTTTGAGGCATCCGTGGTTATCTTCTTAACTCTTTGATTGAATCCGAACAGCCTCCATTTGCCATTGTGTGCTTGACTAGATTAGATTCTTTTAATTACATCTTTTCTAATGATAGCAGGATGGAGAGCTTTTACAAAGTAATCACTGCAGATTGGTTTTGGAAAATGGACCACATCACTTTTATTTAACCTTCAAAGGTGAGGATAGGTGGGGACGTTATGCGATTAGTTAAAAAAAACCAGAGCCAGAGTTTCAGGAGTACTGCACTCAGATTCCCCCAACACTTACAGTTTATTTCATTTATTCAGTTAATGTTAGAATATTTTTTGTAAAGTTTATTTTCTGACATCAAGTTATGAATGGTGTCAAAGATTTGCCAAGTTCTAATGCTAATATGCTGCTCACACATCTCTAATGTTTCCCTTCATGTTGTGTTTGGGAGTGTTTGAGGGCTGTTTCCATGAACAAATGACCATGATCGGAAATATTCCACTGACTTTACTCATCATGTGGCTTGTAAGCACGTACCATCTTAAAGAGAGGTCAGTGTTTGCAGAAGTCACAAGTATTCCCATCAATAGATGACTTGTGTTTAGTTGGTTGTAAGTGTGTGTTTGGACCATTTGAGCTAAGAGATAAGGCTTAGGGTTGCCTGATAAAATCTGGAGGCACTGATGGTGCAGGGAAAGTGACAAACAGGGTGAACAAAGCCAAAACATGAATCATCTTACCTGATGACTGGACTGTGTACTCTGTATGGAGCATTCAGACAGCGGTAGGACGGTGAGTGACAGCTTCCTGTTTTGTCATCTTTGTATTGCAGCATATTGGAGCTGAAATTAAATGACTGCAATTAAAGTGCTCACATCTGGTTTTCAAATGAATGTCTTTACACTTACATCAGACAATATACTAAAGGAATCGTAGCCACTTTGGTCCAGTGTGACAGAGCTGCCACAGTTGTTTAAACATAAACCCCGAGTTTCAGGGGATATAATTAGACAAATCAACATAAATAAAATATTAATCATCTTATTTAATAAATTAGGTTGTAAGCCCTTTGCTGACTGAGCCGTACCACTGACAGACATCAGCAGATACGTGGTATCTTTTATCAGGCTCTGTCCGGCTTGTGCTGGAGCTTTTTTGCCTTCAGTCTGTTCTTCAGCAAGTGAAACACATGATCAGTTATATTGACGTCATTGACTCATTTTGACCAAGTGAGAACAAACACTTGTTGCCCCCAAACAATTCCTTGGTCGTCTGCATATTTATATGATTATTTTCTTGTTACATCATCATTAAACCTGGGGGGATGATCCTATACTGATCATCCAATGTGGACCTGATTCCTGTCAGTTAAAGCTGTAAAGTGCACCATTGTGCTGGTGTACAAATCCAGGGCTGTCCTATTATTTTATGACTTGACAATACTGAATCCAGTCTACAGATTCAGTCTTGACATTCTAAAAAATCCGACTGTTGGTGAGGAAA